AGTTTTTTGGGCTGTTTTTCCAAGAGCAGCAAGAATATTTTAGCAGCAGTTCTGCCAACGCAAATCCTGTTTATCTGAGCGCTCTTGTGAGGGGCTGGTTCGCTGTGAGACACTTCATGAGCAATTTACCGAAAGCCTTGAAGTCCTGCTTGACAGCCGAGTTTATTTTGAGATTTACCTAAAATAAAGTCCTTAAGGAGCACTGAACTCTCAGCATAGAGACCCAGTATCACACGGAAAAGGGACAAGTGCCTGAGGCACACAGGGTAAGTGGCTTTTAGCAGTCACTTGCCTCCCAAAGCACGAGGAGAATGGTTGTTGCCTTGTGTGAGTGCAGGGTACACATTCTTGCCTTTAAAACCAGGTAAATGTGGTTTCACTGCCATTGTTCTGCTTGAATTCCCTTCCTTGGTGAGCACATCCTAAAGGCCCATCCTTGACTGTCCACAAACACGAGGCTTAATTAAATATCTTCATGTGGGAATGGACTCAGAGCCTGCAGGATTGGAATTTAATGTGTACATTTGGTGGTAAAAAATAACTTAAGACTTGTTGCCTCCTTTGGGAGAGTAACCCAAATCACACAGGGTGTTTCCAGCAGGGAAAGGAATTGTCCCTCCTCTGCGTGCCAGAGGTGTGGAGCTGCTGGATCATTATTCTTCCCATGCACAGGCAGGAAGGAGGAAAAATCCGTGTGCTCATACTCAATATTTCATATTCAGTATCTCAGTTTGTGCCTTGGGGTTCACAGGTAAGCTGGAAATACAGAATATTTGAAACCATCCAGGTTTTGTTCCCTTTGCCTTCAGTGGGACTGGGTTAGTTGTGGATCAGTGCATCTGAATTATTTGCTTTTCCCTTGTTTTTTGGTTAACATTTCCTTTACTTTAAGCTGCTGCTCCCAGATAAAGTCTGTGCTCAGGGGATGGCTGTGCTGTGACTGACTGAGCAGCTTCTGCTCTGGGGCATCTGTGGAGCATCAGGAAGGGCTAAGAGAGGAACTTCTTGGGGTGTCAGTAGGGCAGAACGTGCTGTCAGTGGTGAGAAAGGAACAGTTCTGGACAGGAGAAGGTCTTTTTCCAGTAGAAAATGATCCATGATCCCAATAGCTTCACTTCAGCTCTCTCAGAGCAACAGCAGATGAGGCAGCTGGTGGCCCGACGGGATTTCGCAGCCGTTGCTCTGCCCTGGGACGTGGAACAGATGGGCAAAGCCTGGCACAGGGGTCAGGGAGGGGCAGGTCCTGCCTGCCAGCCCCAGCCCTGTTTGCCTTCTGGGCAGGAGGAGCGCCGTGTAAATGATTAATTAGGAGTCCTCTCTTCCCTTTCCCCGTGAGCTGTGGTGGAGCAGCCGGGCCTGGCGGGGTGTCTTTGTGTAACGGTCCATGTCCTGCAGATGTTGTTTGGGACTGTGGGTTCCAAGCCCTGCCAGCTAACTCTTTTCTTTATTTGTACTGAGTGCATTTGAAGTTGCATCATTTCCTCGGTAAGAACGGTTTTATTTTTGACTGGAGCGTTTTGTCAGGTGGAGGAAATCCTAAATGTTGAGTGCTCTCTGCTGGTGAAGATTTCTGCTCCAGTGTTCCCGTTCCTGCAGTGTCTTTTCCAGGGGGAATTTGATGTGAACATAGAGTGTCTGGACTTAACTCCCTTCCCTGAACATAAAAACTACAAAACAAAGTAAGAGCCTTTTCCTTGCCTTAGTGGTCTTCTTTCCTAGAGAATAATTCCTCTCCCTTTCAGTGATTTATAGTCCGTGACTCACTGCTTTTTATTTTCTCATTATCAATTGATGTTTTAATGAGGTAATAAAAACTAGTATAAAAACTTCTCATGAAAGAGCTGATGGTCCTCAGAATAACTCAGAGGGATTAAATGCTCTGAATTTTCTTTTTGGCTGCCGAGCTAATGGAGAGAGGAGGGGAGACTTAGTGGGGTCTGCAGCTCCTCCCGAGGGGCAGCTCCAATCTCTGCTCTGGGTGAGCAGGGACAGCACCCAGGGAAGGGCTGGAGCTGTGTCAGGGCAGGGTCAGGCTGGATCTCAGGAAAAGGTTCTTCCCCCAGAGGGTGGTTGGCACTGAACAGGCTCCCCAGGGCAGTGGGCACAGCCCCAAGGCTGCCAGAGCTCCAGGAGGGTTTGGACAACGCTCTGAGGGACAGGGAGGGATTGTTGGGGTGTCTGTGCAGGGCCAGGGGTTGGATTTGGTGATCCTTGGAGGTCCCTTCCCTCTGAGGGTATTCTGTGATACAGAAATGATTCAGATGGAATCATTACAGGGCCGTGTTTTGTTGCAGCACAGGCTGATGTGATTTCCACGAGAGACACAAACCAAGGTTTGACCATGGGGATGGATATTGGGGTTCCTTTTATCAGACTTGCTGCTGTTCCTTTTAATAAAAAAAAGAGTCCAGTTCTTCACCTAACCCTCAGCCCTGAAATGGCTGTGCTGGCCGTGGTGTGGATGAGTCTCCCCAGATGGTGCAGTGCCTTTCCAAAAAGCCCCAAACAGCTTTGTTGTCCTGTTTTGTGACCTTGCCCTGCGGGGTAGTGACTGGAGCACAGCTCATGCTCCCCCTTTGCACTTCTCTGGTGGGTTGTTTTCTTAAAGTTTCCACGAGTCCTCCCTGGGCCAGGCAAACCCCGGCGCTCCCAGCAGGAAAACAGGCCCTGCTGTTCTTGGCCTGAGCTGCTGGGAGGGATGAAAAGGGGCTTTATCAGCCAGGAGGGGCGAGGAGCCACAGCTCCTGTAGGGAACATCTGAGCACAGCTCTGCAGTTTTAACTCCAGCGCTCAGAAGTGTAAAGAAAAACGAACCAAGAGGTGAATTGGGGGTGTCAGCTGTTCGTAAAGGCTGAATCCCCAGAGCCAAGCTGGGAGAGGTGTCTGTTTGTCAGGCCTGGAGATGGATCCTTCTTCTCCCTCACCTTCACTTTTTGCCACAGAGTTGAAGACACAGCTTGTCAGAGCTCAGTAAAACCTTGTAGGGCTTGACTGGGGATTCCCTTCCAGCTCAGGATCTTCCACGGTTCTGGGATTCAGTCAAGGACACCGAACTGCCAAGGGAGGAAACTTAAACTGGGCTCTGCCACTGCTAGTTTACATAATTCATTAATTAAGGAAGAGGTCAGAGTATTGGGTGCTGGGATGGTGACTTGGCACAATGGGCCTTTATGCCTTTATTTCTTCTCAGCAGCTGAAACAACTCGCCCTTGACCCTCTCTGGGGCCATGAACTCTCACCCGTGTTTGTGGCAGCACCGTGGGGCTTAAAAAACTCACCCAGAAACTGCTGCATCTTTATTTTTATCATCACTAGTGCCTTGAGCAGCAGGTCTGTGCTGCTGGGCAGGGCCTTCTGGAGAGCACCCTGCGTGTTCTCCATTGAATAATTCACCTTTTTGGATGTCCAGCCCCAAAAGATGGGATGATTCTGCTGATTGTGGTGTCCTTGGAGTGGTTTCCATTACGTATTTAGGTGTGACTTGATCCCCTTAATAGCAACAGTATTGTGTGGGTTTGGTTTTTCAAGCTCTCCTATGTATATGCAGAGTCCCTCAAGGGCTCCTGAGAGGGCAGGAGGTTGGCATCTGATCCCTTTGCACCTTCTGCCTCTTTGGGATCTTCCAAATCCCACAATTCCCACCTGCTTTGTGCTTCTAAGAGGTGAAATCAGGTGTATTATTTAATTATTTTAAGATTATATTTTCTAAAACATTTTTGCTGGCTTTCAAAGATGGTATCATCTCAAAACCATCAAATATCTTTGCATTTTAAAGTCATGAATGTTTTGGGCCATGTATATCAAGGCACTTCCAGCAAGAACTGAATGCAGGAAGAAAAAGACATTTTGCAGTTCCTGTGTGTTTTTAGTGCAGCATTTCGGGAGGAAGCTGGAATTGGAGGCACAAGCACTCCCAGAAAGTGGAATGCTGGCTGCTGGATGATGGTTCTTGAGTTTTTATTACACCTGCTAAAAACTGACAGTGCCAAGATGCTGCAGAAAATTCTCAGATGAACAATAGAAAATGTCAGGGCTGTCACCACATGGGGGTGGTAATAAATTCAATAAAGTAATGCTGGAATTTGTGCCGGAGTCCGGGAGGGATTGAAGGCCCCTGGGCTCCATTGGAGGGGTTCGAGTGCCATCTAATGTTGTGAGGTTTAAGTGCAGCTGCAGACGGGGAATTGTGCTACAAATGCCGTGGTTTGGGTGTCGATCCCAGAATCTCCTGCCGTCCTTTCTCCTCCTGAGAAGGAAAGGCTGTATAAATTCTCCTGCTGGTAACCTGGAATTCCTCTGAGCTCTGCTGATAGGTAACTTCCAATAAAATGTGGATTTCCTTGGAAACAGCTTTTAACTTAAACACTTTTCATAAACAAGCTTCCAGTGATTTTCTGTCTTGTTTGCAGAAAGAATCCAGGAGCCAGGTAGGGCTTAGGAAAGGTGCAGTTTGGGGTTGTTTTCACACATTCTTGGGAATCTTTCCCCTCTGGTTTAGCAGCACTGGTGATGCCAAAGTGCCTTCCAGTGTAAAGGATGGAGTGGGAGCTCATTGCTGGAGCTGACAGGCTGCAGTTCCCTCCTTGGCCTTGTTTATTTTCTTCCAGGTGTGATCAGACCTCTCTCAGTGAGGGGTTTCTCTGGCCTTTGGCTGGGTCATGGACAACTGCAGAACGTGAGAAAAAAGAGTTTGCCTTTAAATCCCCTCTGTGAAGCAGATTTTATTTGCTCCTCACGCTTGTGTTAATTACTGTCAGCTGTAGAGACAGTAAATTGTACATTGTGCACCTGTAAGTGAAACAACAGTAGAAATGTCCTCAGATCTCTCTGTCCCTGCTGTGCCATCCAGGCCACCCTGCCAAGGGAGTGTCCTTAGCCAGGGTTCTGTTGTGGTGTTTCCATGGATCAGAGCTCACTGCTGCTGCACTCTTGGCAGGCGCGTTCCAAACCTCCCCATTTGTCTGTGCTCATTTCTCCCCCTTTGCTCTCACCCCGGGCAGGTTTGAGAAGGGCAGGATTTACACCTTCATCGGGGAGGTGGTGGTTTCCATGAACCCCTACAAGAACCTGAACATCTACGGGCGGGACACCATCGAGCAGTACAAGGGCAGGGAGCTCTACGAGAGGCCCCCCCACCTCTTCGCCATCGCCGACGCCGCCTACAAGGCCATGAAGAGACGCTCCAAGGACACCTGCATTGTCATCTCAGGTGAGCTGGGGGGGCCTGCACGTCATCCTGGGGAAATTCCAGCCAGAGGGAGAAGGAGGATGGTTTGATTAGTCCTCAAGGCTCGTTTGGGTTTGAATCCCTGCGTGGAGACGTCGCAGTTGTTTCTTCCCTCGTTCACTCATTCAGCCAGGCAGGAGTGGGGCTGTGCCTGCAGGGGGATAACGGCAGCAGGAGCCTTATCCCACCCCAGGGATCAGCAGGGCAGGGCCTGTCTCTCCTCAGGAGCTGCTGCTTTTGCCCCTGAGCTGGTTTTGTCAGTGGGAGCAGGGCTTGTTCCCTGCCTGGATCCTGGCACTCCCTTCCCTTGATGTCCCCGAGCTCTGAAAGGCGAGAGCCCCGAGCTGGGGGGCTGAACAGTGGCCCCTTGTGCTGCCCAGCCAGGCTTTTTCTCCTCTAACAATATTCCTTTGATCCTCTGGGTGCCAGGCCCGTTCCCGACCTGTGGAATCTCACATCACAATTGCCCCGAGTCGGCGCAGCCACAGGGTTTAGAAAACGCCCTGAGTGCACACAAAGATGGTTTTAAAACAACAAATCAAAACCCCCCCAGACGTTGTTGGAGTGGAATTAAGATGTTCTGTGCAGTGATTTGCTTTGCTCTTTTCGTCTCTTGGGTCACCCTGGTGTTTCTGCCCCCCAGGTGAAAGTGGAGCTGGGAAAACTGAGGCCAGTAAATACATCATGCAGTACATTGCAGCCATCACCAACCCTGGGCAGAGGGCTGAGGTGGAGAGGTAAGGCCTTGCCTGGGAAAAAAGGCAAATTTGGAGATCTTTTTCTGTAGGCTCTGTAGCTGAGGGTCTCTTATATATGCTGATTTTTACAGCAGTTCCCTGACTTCTTCAGGTACTAATTTTACCCTGGGAATTTTGCAATATTAATTGCTAAAATCATGCAGAAAAATTAAAAAAACCAGTATTTAGAATACCTTCCAAGCAATTCCAACCATCTCATGATCTTAGAGGTCTTTTCCCAGTGATTGTAAATCACTTTTCCTGGGGCAAGTTGCCCGAGGTCTGGGTACATTTGGACAGCATGTTGAGTGCAGGGAGTGTATTCCATGAGCTTCCAGGCTCACATGCTGCTGATTTGCAAAATATGCCTGTTAGTCCTGGAGTAAAAGTATTAGAACAAAGAACGTGCCTTTCTGCTGACTCAGATTTAATACCAACCTCGAATAAACTTTGTCAAAGAGCTCAATAAATTGGTTTCAAAACTGAAATATATAAAGGAGCTGTGTTTTTGGTGCTGTTTTCAATCAGGGTTGGGTCTCTGAACCAAAGAGCCTTTGCTGGCTCTGAGGGGCATTGCTGACAGCTCCCAGCTGATGTCCCGTGGGATTGCTGCTGTCACCCACATCTGCCAGGCTGTGCCATCAGACAGCATCGCTGCTGTGGCTCAGTTCTGCCCCAGAAATGCTGGTGAAACAGATTCCCTGGGTCTGAGTGCTCAGCTCTGCACTTACCCTGTTCCCTCTTGCATCCCTGGGCCCTGCAGGGTGAAGAACATCCTGCTGAAATCCAACTGCGTGCTGGAGGCCTTTGGCAACGCCAAGACCAACCGCAACGACAACTCCAGCCGCTTTGGGAAATACATGGACATCAACTTTGATTTTAAGGGGGACCCAATAGGTGGGCACATCAATAATTACCTGCTAGAAAAGGTAAGGCCCCCTCAGTGCCCGCTGAGAGCCTCTGCTGGAGTTGCTTTTGCAGTGTGGGCTTTGCCAGCAGAGTTCTGGTCAGACAGGTGAGGTGTGATGGGAGATAAACCCAGGGCTTAATTTTCCCTCAGGAGTTTACAGTAAAGGCCCTGCAGTGCCCTGTCCTGGGACACCAGGGCTTCCAGAGCTCCCCAGGAAAGAGAGACTCCATTACTCAAGCATTTCTGGGCATGTGGGGGTGTGAACTTTAATCTCAGCTTTAATTCTGGATACAATTTGCCATCTGCACAACTCCTCCTTTGTGAGTCCCCTCCTCTGAGGTCTCCCTGCTGGATCAGGAGAGATCTCCAGGGCTGCAAGTGGCAACAGTCTGCTTGAGAAGTGTTATTTTGGAATGAAGCCACAGCCTTCTGTGGTGTTTTAGTAGCATTGTTTTTCTGTATTCCGAGTGATCCTGACATAATTATTTTTTTCATGTCATTAAGTGGTGTCTGAAAACACTGGGATATGTAAAAGTGTAGAGAAAAGGGGTGTGAGCCATTAACAACTCCTGTTGTGTGAGACATGTCTGGCTTTAATTATGTGTTTGACCACATCTGCCAACAGCTTTTTGTTTGTGTTTTATTTTTTTACTCTTCCCTTTATTTCCCTAAAGTCTGTTTTCAGAATAAACACTTTATTTAAAAACAAAACAAAACAAAAAACCCCAACAAAACAACAAACCCAAACATTTAACTTGGGATACTTTGATGCAGAAAAAGGGCTGGGACTGCAGCTGCAGCAACTTAAATCCTGATGATTTATTCCTCCTGATTGTTTATTTCGTATTCTCTCCTTCTCCCAAGTTAAATTTGTTTCCATTTGAAAGCAGTTGAGGTTGTGGCCTCAACACAAACATGAACAGACAGTGTCTTTGCACTGCAGCAGGAACACAGGGAATCATGGAATTACAGAGTATCTTGAGCTGGAAGGGACCCCCAAGGACCATCCAGTCCTTGCACAGACACCCCAACAATCCCCCCCCGTCCCTCAGAGCGTTGTCCAAACCCTCCTGCAGCTCTGGCAGCCTTGGGGCTGTGCCCACTGCCCTGGGGAGCCTGTTCAGTGCCAACCACCCTCTGGGGGAAGGACCTTTCCCTGACATCCAACCTGAGCCTGCCCTGGCACAGCTTTGTGCCTCATCGCTCTCCTATGTTCAAACTCGTAGCATAAAACAAGGATTTGTTGCTTGTTGACCGAGTGTCTGGTGCATTTAACTCTCTTTGTGCTGTGTTACCCTGCTTTGGAGAGAGAGCTCTGCAATGGAGCTGTGGCTTCCCTTGTGTCAGAGCAGAGCATGCCCTGGGTGCTGGGATCAGCCTGTCCCAGGAGTGTGGCATTGCTGACCACCCTGAGCAGTCACTGGGCCTGCTTTTCATTTCCAGTGACCAAAAACTAAAACGAAAATGACGTTTATTTGACTCTTCCATGCAAGGATGGAAGATCCCTGCCACGTGGGATTCCTGGGTGGAAGCAGGACATTGCAGCTGTTAAACAAGCTGGTCTTTCTGATCACAGACCTCGAGCTGCACATCCACTCCTGTGCAGGGGTGTTCACAGGAGGGAGCTGGGGTTGGGGCTGCCCTGGCAGTGGGAGCCCTGTGGCTGAGGGAGGAGCTGGGGCAGCACAGCCACAACACCCACATTCTGTGTTTTGTCTCCCCCAGTCCCGTGTGATTGTGCAGCAGCCTGGAGAAAGGAGCTTCCATTCCTTCTACCAGGTTTGTATCCCTTTGCTGCACCAAATCCCCTGTGGCCAGAATGTCCAGAGCTCTCACCCTTCTCGTGTGTTTTCCAGAGGGTTTCCTCGTTGCAGCTTCTTGGGTGATCTTTGGGTTCTTCAGCTCTTTGTGCTGGGAAAGAGCCTGGGAAAATTGATTGTTTTCCATCCTCCAGTCCCTTATTAACACATTTATAAAATTCAGAGGAGGCTGACTAAACAAATATGGTAGGACATTGGACTTTGACTCACTGTTTTATTTGTAGCAAGTCTAATCCCCTCTGTTTTCTCTTAAGGCCTTTGGTCCATATGGAAGTAATTTTATGACACCAAGTTGACTTCCTTGGTTTTTTTTGGAGGTCCTTTTTAATGTCTTCCACATTGTTCAGTGGTTCCCTGGGTGTCCTGGGGGGGATATGGTTGGCCTGTTAGTATAACCTTGTTTCTCAGCTTAGCAGGCAGGGAAACATAGGTTTGTTTATTTTTTTCCCCACTTACTCGGTGCTCCATGATGGCACGTCTAGCACTTTTCTCATGGACAGGTCATTTCCATATGGAAAAGTCTCTGTGCAGAGCATCAAAGGGAAATGTGGTGGTTGCCAGGACACAGCTGTGGCATGTCACAGATGTAAACAGGGCTGGTCTGTGAGGAGGTTCAGGCTGGGTTTTTTTAAAAGAGTTATGACTCAGAAGGACAGTGATTTGGGCAACCACCATCCCACACCGTGCATCCCACGCATGTTCTGCTCCTGCCTCCAGATCCTGGATTAGTAATTAATATTTTCGTGATTGTTCTCGTCAAGCAGGTGAATAAGAACCAGAAAAAAAGGATGGATTTCCTGTTTTTCATTCACCATTTCTTAACCCCCTTCTCTGTGCAGCTCCTGCAGGGAGGTTCTGACCAGCTCTTACGTTCCCTGCACCTTCAGAAGGACGCATCAGCCTACAGCTACATCTGTCCTGGGGCACAGATCAAGGTGAGCCTGGCTTAGGGCAGCTTTAAAACTGCTGCTTGACATGCTGAAAGCACTGCTGAGCCAGCAGAAGCTGAGGCCAATATTTATGGGGTGAACATGGAAAGGTAACACTGGTGGTTTAATTTTAGTGGAGTTTCTGGCCCTTGGAGACAAAGCACATGTGCTTAGAATCACAGGAAAAATATGTTTGTGTATATACAAGTATGTTGTGCATCCTGCATTTAAACATTATAATACTCATTACATTATAAAAAGCAGTGAAATTCGGTGTTAATTAAGGCAGGTGTAGATATTTGACCCGTTACCAGTGACAGACATTCCATAATGGAGAACTTGAACTGCTTTCTGGACCAAAAAGCCATAAGAACTCTTTATTTACAGTAGGACCATTTAAGTTACTGAAGAATTCAGTCTTTGTGGCCTCAGGGAAAGAAGGGAACAAACCCATGAGGTTTTTAGGACAACAGCACGTTGAACCCTTGACTTCAACTTGTTGGGTGGGACTCTCACACAGCAGGCATTAAGAGGTTTAGAAAACTGCTGAAACAAGTTGAAGACAATTTCTTGCTAGAGGTACAAAATAAGCCAAGTAGGAAAGGCACCTCCTGGGTAAATAGAATGGAGGGAGTGTGATGATTGGTGCCTGTCTTGGCCGCAGTGATCACGAAAAGATTGCGTTTTAAACCTTTGGTGAAATGAAAAAAGCTGTCAGCAGAGGCACTGCCCTGGATTTTGGGAGAGCAGGCCACAGGATGCTCAAGGAACTATTTAATAAGGTTCCCTGGGAATCTGTTTTCAAGAGTATTGAGGCCCATAAATACCAGACACTTTTTGAGAGGTGTCTTTTCAGAGCACAGGAGGAGACAATTCCAGAAGTCAGTCAATCAGGTGATTGAGCTTGGCTGAACAGGGATCTCCTTCTGGAAATTAGGAAGGAAAAGACAGCAAGGTCAGGCTGCATGGCAGGACTGCAGAGATGCTGCTCACCACACGTTCAGATGCATCTGGCGTTGTCCCCAGCGTTGTCCCTGGGAAGCAGAGTCCAAACAAAAGGCTCTCTGATGTCCCAGTTGATTTTGTGAGATGCTCTTTGACACAGAAACCCACAGACCAACAGATGCCTGACCAGCTTCTCTAGAAATCTGCAGGGAAAACAAACCCAGGGATTGGGAAGGAGGGAGGCAGAGGCTTATCTGGAGGAAGGTGGAGACCAGAGGTTTCCTGCTGGTGCTCTGCAGCTCCTGCCTGGGGGGTCTGTGAGGGCACAGCTTGTCACTGCTGCTCTGGGTGCTTTCATGAACCACTTCTCCTCCTTCTCACTGAATTCCACTGGGAAATCTGTTGTGCTGTGGTGGATTTCTGTATCTTATCTGCCAGAACACGTGTGTGCAGTGCAGGGTTTAGTGTCCAAGCATGTGAGATGGCAGTGGAATAAACTGGGAAACCTCATGACAGTGCCTTGCATCTGAAAAATATCAGAGTACATATCTGTTTCCCGTGGGCTTGGGAAATCTTTGCTGAATTCCATTAAATCCATCCTGTCCCAAACTTCCCTTTGCCCTCAGTGTTCCATCAATGACAGTGCCGAGTTCAAAGCAGTCGCTGATGCCATGAAGGTGATTGGCTTCAAGCAAGAGGAGATCCAGACTGTCTACAAAATCGTGGCAGCCATTCTCCACCTGGTAAGATCCCTGCTCCTGGCTGTGTCCCTGGGCTGTTCCTGGGCTGCCAGCAGCTCCAGTTTTCCTGCTGCAGGAGCAGTTGGAGGGCCTGTTGGCTGGGAGAGAGTGTGCACAGCTCACAAGTCCCAGTGGTGAGGGGAACTCCTGGCTGAAACAGGACACTGTGAGGGTGGAAGATCACATGTGTTCCTGCCTGTTCCAGATCCCAAACCAGACACGCCACTGACTACTGGGAGCTGTTAAATGTTCTGAAAAAGGAATGGCTGGGGGTTGGCAGTGAGGGGGTGGGGAGCTTGTGTCCCCTTTCGCCCTCACCGTGGTGGTTCTGCTGGAGGGGCAGTGCCTCACTGCATGGTGGAGGCTTGGGCACAGGGGACACAGGAGACCTCTTAGTTTTCCATGTTCTGAGGCCAAGGAAACCCTGGAATGCCCTGGGTTCTCCTGGGACCCACAGAGCCTCCTCCCCTGCGCAGTGTCCCTGGAGCTCAGCTCCTGTGTTTCCCTGAGGAGGAGGGTGCCAGGGATCACTGCAGCTTTGCTCCAGCTCCTTCTGCTCCTTGGGATAGCTGGGATGGCTGGCAGAGCAGAGGGGCTGTGCAGGCAGGGTGGGAGACCACCCAGTCCTGGGGATCACCCTGGCAGGGCAGGTGTCCAGGAGCAGGCTGTGGAGGTGGAGTGCAGCCAGTCCAGCCCCACTGGCACTGACCTGCCAGCTTCCCCAGGGCATTCCCATTCCCTCTGTGGGCAGGAGAACTGCAGCCAGTGGTTCTGTGGTGAGCAGGCACATCCAGTGTTTATATCCACAGTGTCATTTCCCACCCCTGGCCTCTCAATCTCAAAATGGTGTTTGATTAAATCTCAGGGAGTGTTTGATGTAATTTTTTTCCCCAAGAGCTGGACTGAGCACTGAGCAGGGATGCTTTGCTTTGAGCCAGGCTTTGCTGCTTCCACTGGTGCTGGAGCTTTGGGAGCGTGTGGATATGCAAGGCCCACCCTTCTAGTGAGGGCAGGAGGCTGACTGCCTGGCAAGGGGACATTGAGAAATGCACCTCCTGGCTGCTTGTTGCAGGGGAACTTGAAGTTTTCAGTGGATGGGGACACGCCCATGATCGAGAACGGGAAGCTGGTGTCCACCATCGCAGACCTGCTCTCCACCAAGGCCGACCTGGTGGAGAAGGCCCTGCTGTTCCGCACGGTGGCCACGGGCAGGGACGTCATCGACAAGCAGCACACGGAGCAGGAGGCCACCTATGGCAGGGATGCCTTTGCCAAGGTGAGTCCCAGCTCCCTGTCCCCATGCCCAGCTCGGGGAGGGTGATGGTGACTGGCACACGTGTCCCCCGTGGTTGAGTTGCTGGCCCCGCAAGGCAAAGCTTGGGATCGCAGGGAAAAATCCACTTGTGTGCTGCTTAAAAGACACAAGTGGAGTTGGTCATCCTGCATTTAAACATTCTAGTGTTCATTACATTGTAAAAAGCAGTACAATGATTCGTTGATGAAGGCAGGTGTAGATATTTGATCTGTCACCAGTGACAGGCGTCCTGTGCTTCGTGATGGAGAAGCTGAGCTGCTTTCTGGGCCAGAAAGCCAAAAGGACTCACATTTTACAGTTTTGGTCGAGTTGCACTCAGTGCAGCAAAGAACAGGGATGCCCCAGGAAAGGGTTCAGTGTGGAGCTGCTGTCAGAACTGCACAGGGTTCGGTCCCCAGCAGCATTCCCGGGTGGATCAGTGAGCACAGTGCTTGCTGGGCATCATGTGGGTTTGTTTCTGGATGTGCACACTCCTGTGTTCTGGGTGGGATTGTGGCACAGCCCCATCCCTGCCCTTCCCAGCAGGGATCCAGCACCCACAGCCAGCAGGAGGGCAGGGGCTGCAGGCCAGGCCAGGCCAGCATCTGCAAAGGGAATATGTTGTACAGGGTGGGATATTTTGTGAAATACGATTAATTTAGTAGTTTAATTCCAAAAGTAGAGAGTGGAACTGCAATATCTAGGACACAGGTTGGAAACCTGAAGTGTTGTCTTTTTTTTTTTTAATAACCCCAGAATGGTTTGGCTTGAAAAGGACCTGAAAGACCTTCTAGGTCCAACCCCCTGCCATGGGCAGGGATACCTTCCACCAGAAAGGTGGGTGGGGATGGCAGGAGTGACACTTGTCCCCCCTTTGCTAAGAAATCAAATGATAAGGGAAGAAGAGGAGAAGTTAGGAAGATCCTTGATTACTAACCTGACTCCTTTTCCTGCTACAATGTTTGCCCAGCTTCACAGTCCATTTGGAACAGGCAGACTTTGAAGGCTCTGCCTGCAGAACATTTTCTGTTTGAAAGGTGCTCTGGGATATTTTCCTGCCGTTGTGTTCAGTTGTTAGGTTTCTATGCCTGACCTTTCACTTGGCTCTTCTTCACTCTTGTTAAATAACTCTCAGGAGTGGAAGTTATTAGGCAGCTGAAAAGCCAACTGGGATCAAATTAGGGAACTGCTGTACCCAGTGACCTCACTGGGATTTCGACTCTGCATGAATGAATTTAGGAAGAAAGACAAGAACTATTTTCATAGAGTATCTTCTTCAGCTGAGTAGCTGCTCCCTTTTGGCAGGTTGTTGTCTGTAGCTGTGCTGGGGGCAGGGCAGGAATGAGCTGTGTGTCTCCTGCAGGCCATCTACGAGCGCCTCTTCTGCTGGATCGTGACACACATCAACGACGTGATCGAAGTGAAGGACTACGACACCACAGTGCATGGCAAAAACACGGTCATTGGAGTGCTGGACATCTATGGCTTCGAGATCTTCGATAATAACAGGTGAGCCACGTTGTCCAAGCCCAGTGTTGAGCCTTCTCCTTTCTCCCAGGAAACTCATCACCTTTTCTTTTGGTCTGTTTTTGCAGCTTCGAGCAGTTTTGCATCAACTACTGCAACGAGAAGCTGCAGCAGCTCTTCATTCAGCTGGTCCTGAAGCAGGAGCAGGAGGAATACCAGCGAGAGGGAATTCCCTGGAAGCATGTGAGCGCTCTGGCAGGGCAGGGAGGGGTCGGGGTGAGGTCAGTGGACCAGCACAAGGCCCAGCTCTGAGGCTGCTCCACATGCACGTCCCTGCTGCAGTCGATGGGACATCTGTGTCCCTGCCAGCTGTCCTGGCAGACGTGCTGTCACGTCAGGCTGGGGCAGGAGCCAACCAGTCACCTCAAACATGGGAAAATAAGGGACTCCAGGTCTGAGATAAAACCTAGTGTGGCATCTCTGTGATGCCACACACATCACTGTGTGTTTCTGTTCTGAGGGCTTCTGTATTTGGCCTGGTTGTTGGTATCAACATGTAAAAATCTTGACTTCTCCTGTTCAAATTCCCTTCGGGATGCCAAGGACAGGATGTGCAGTGTCACTGTGGTGACTGCACACAGCTGAATTTTAAAAAGCATTTTGAAGTGCGTTCTGTGGCAGAGGTTTGTATCTGAGGGATTTGAAAGATCATTTTCTCCGCTGTAAAGTGGTAAAGGGTAGCCTGTTCAATTTGGAATTGGAGATCTGCAGACCTGGAGCTGGTTGCTTCTCCTGGGCGTGGTGGGCCTCATGTTCAGTATGAGCACTGGGACCCTCCCTTTCCTCCAGCCAAAGTCACCAACACCCCCGTTCTGTGTTCCCTGCAGATTGATTACTTCAACAACCAGGTCATCGTGGACCTGGTGGAGCAGCAGCACAAAGGGATCATCGCCATCCTGGACGACGCCTGCATGAACGTGGGCAAGGTCACGGACGAGATGTTCCTGGAGGCTCTCAACAGCAAGCTGGGGAAGCACGCCCACTTCTCCAGCAGAAAGGTACCCCCTCCTGCACCCTCAGACCTTCCTTTTGCCTTCCCCGTGCTCTGATGGAACAAGCAGAGAGGCTCCTGAGGGGTGGCTGGGTTGGAATCGTCAGGGCCGAGCGGGAAATGAGGTGTCCGGAGCAGCCGCAGCGTCGACCCCCGCGCTCGGCAGAGGGAGCTCCAGCACGTCCGATGGCACATCCCTTTTATTCCGGGATAAAAAGGAGCCTGAGCTCGTGCCTTGACAGATCATGATGTCATCTGTGACCAATCGATGCTCCGCTCCAGCCCACGTGCTGCTCTGCCCAGGCTGCTCTAACGCACAGTGACAGTGGAATTATTCACACTCCTGGTTTATCACAGGAGTGCTGGGGGTTCTTCCCCTCATCATTGGCTGCACAACGTGCTCATCTCCCCCCCATACCTTGGAGCACCCAGGCCCCCCTTGCCTGGCTTTGTCTGGGCTACAGTGGGCGAATTAAAAGGCTTCATTTATTCCTCACTTGGCAGCAGATTGCAAAATGGTCACCAGCCTGATTAATTTGAGAATCTTTCACACTGAGTAATCAAATAAGGGCCTTTAATTTATTGATGTCTCTCCTCTCAGAAGCGCTGTCTGAAATGCTTTGTGAGTGCTGGTTCCCCCCTGCTCCCTCCCACCCCAGCACAACATTTTATGTAGGTCAGAAATACCAAATTAGCCTGGTTGTGTAAGATATGTGCTAAAGGCTGCCTCGGGGGAGCCAGGGTAAACAATGCATCTGGCTGGGGCTGGCTGGGGAGAGGCCAGGATGAAAACAAACCAGAGCTGCTCTTTCCTCCCAGATGTGCCTCTCCTCAAGTGCCCCGTGGCTGCAGCACACCTGACACCTCCCCTGCCACGTGCACCGAGCTGAGGGGGGGCCATCGGGGGTCCTGGTTCCAGGGCTGACCCAGATTTAGTGGTGACACGGCACGTCCTGAGAAAACTCACCTGAGAAACAAAGTGTGCTGCTGAAGCCCAGTCTGGGTCCCTGTTTGGATGCAAACTGCTTCCTTTAGTGCTTGGGAACAGTGAGACCCATGCAGGGGGGATGGAGTCTGTGGGTTGGGGTGGGAATGGTCCAGCTTGTGGAGCCTCAGATCCGTGGATGTGGAGAAAGGAGCTGGTGGAGAAGTTAAGTTGCTGTCCTGTCCTTGATCTCAGGGGAAGGGGTTCCACCACGGAGGGAGCAGATGGTCCCTTCAGTGCAGCGGCAGGAGGGGCTGGAATTTCAGAAGGTGTCTGGGAGGCTGTAAAATGAAACTTTAAAAGTCAAATCTGGTCGAGTCCTTCCCTTCAGGAGTCCCTTCCCAGCAAGGAGACGTTAAAGGACGAGGTTGCAGCTGCAGCGTCGCTCAGCAGGAGGTGGCGTGGTCAGGAACTGTCGGCACAGACTGAGGGGGAAACAAGGAATCCTGCTATAAATAATGCTCATGGAGGGGCTGATGGATCTGCCTGGCTTGCTGATTTCTAGCTAAATCAATAGAGCCTTGAAAACATTGACCCATAAACCTCTCAGCTTAATTATTACTCTTCCTCCCCCTCACATCTCTGCAGTCGTCCTTTACCAGCACCTCAGCTCCCTCCCCACCCAGAACTGCTGGAGGAAGCCTGAGCTTTCCCAAACCAGCCTCTTCCACCTTGGATTACGACAGAGGGCTGGATTTGGCGTCAGGATTTGCCTTTGCAGGTGCAGTGGGTCCCTGCAGAGTTTTTGTGTGGATGTGGAGGCTGTTCCTAAAGAGTGCCAGGGCTGTGCCCGCCATGCTGGGAGCAGCTCCCACTCTCAGCCCCAGCTCCTGCTCCACCGCTGCCCTGCAGAGCATTCTGCACTCTGGCTCCCTGTGGATGAGCTCCAGGGGGCTGCTGTGCCCTAAATAGTCCTGGCCTAGTTTGAGCCCTGCCTGGCTGGTCCCAGCTGCCTCCTTGGTTGTCCTGGTGAAGGCCAAACGATCCCAGGGAACACGGGGGAACACTTCCACACGAGGGGCGTTCGTGGCAAAGTGTTGTGTTCCTGGAGCAGGGGTTGTCCTCCTGGGAGCTGTCTGACTCTCTGCTCTCAGGGCACTTCTCAACATCCCTGTTTGTTTTCTCGGCCTTTTCAAGTTCTGATTCTTTTCTGTTGGTGTTACACTTTGGAAGGATGAATGTGGTGATTGTCCATGAATGCCTGAATATTCAAAGTGTGGAGAACATCAGTCTCAACAAACTGGTTGTGCAGGGAAGGGTATCACTCACAATATGCTGCTGGTCCAGCTGATCTTGTGTCTTCCAAGTCAGTTGGCAGGAGGGTCTTGGAAGTAGGAGAGAGATCAACATGGGACAGATGTGTAATGATAACGTGATACACTCCCACTCTCCAGTGATCTGCAGCTCAGGAAGCTCCTGAATCACTGCTGGTATCCTTAATAGATCGGGGGTTTTTTGGTTTTTTTTTTTAATTGTCAAAGAATTCTATAACTTTGAGTGCCCCTTCCTTCCTGTTTTCCTCTCTCCTCCCTTTTCACTTTTAGTTTCTGCCTCTCACCTCCTGGTGTTCAATTGGCAAAACATGGTCCACATCATCTCCACGTGATTTTCCATTGTCTCTGGGCATGCATTTCTTAACCTGCAGGGGCTGAGTTCCTTGACCTGTCCTGCCATGGCAGTCAGGCAGTAGTTGGTTGGTTTTGCCCTTTGCCAGTTCTCCAGTGTCCTTTCTGAGGTGGAGAGTGTTTCAGGTACTTGTGTGATGACCCCCTGTGCTCAGAGACCTGCTGCTCTGGTCTTTTTTTGGGCTAATTCCAGTAGCTTTGCTCAGTAGACACAAAGTTTGGACAGAGTCACTTTTTAGAAAAACAAAACCCGAACCAACAAACAACAAAACCACTGATCCATGTTACAGCAGCTCCCAGTCTCTCTCTTCAGAGCTGGATGAGTTTTTAGGAGGAGCCTGTGCTGCCAACTGTGTCCTGTCTGGTAGCACAGACACATTTCCTTTGTCATTTGCTTTATACCTCTTTTATTGACTTGTTGCTTTGAGCTGTGTGTTTGGGTGGCAGAAAAAAGGCCTTCCACCCTCCCCAGCCCCATGCTGGGAACACAGCTGCAGAGAGAAAAATGACTTTGTTTTCCTGCCATTGCCTCATTTCTTCATTTTCTCTGTGTTCTGCTGCACCTTGGTCATCCATCACCTCTGGAGCCTGCTGGGGACCTTGGAGCTCACACTGCTTGGGTTCCTCCTTGTGGTTGATTTTTTTTTATTATTATTATTTGTAAAATATATTCTGTTTTATTTTTTTCCATCCATTCTGTCAGTTTGAGCCACTCTGTTTTCTCCTCTTGGACACGGGTGAATTTTTGGAGGGTATCATCCTGCTCCCGATCACCTCTCCTGCCCTGCACTTTGACCACGCTAAATTCCTCATTTTCCCAAGGCTTTGGGGAGATTGCAGATCCTGCTCACAGCCCTCAGTGTTGTTAATGGTGCTTGTGCTGCCTGCAAAGACCAAATTCATCTCCTGCCCCTTTTGCCTGTAACAAAAGTGCCTAGTTTTTATCTCGTTCTCCTTTTTTAATTAAGCTGAACCTGATGGATTTTTTTTTTTTTTTTTGGCTTCTGCTATTCCTGAAGGGATGAGTTTATTACAACCACTGCTGCTGAGGACATCCCTTACAGAAGGGATGGAATGGGAATTTGAGCTGGAATGGGGGGATCAGCAGGGGGGTCCCTGTGTGGGGAGGTGTCAGATGACCAGGAGTGCTGTGGGACAGAACAAACCCTGCCTGCTGTAGCTGTCACATTTTAATTGGCTCGTTTCTTTGCCGAGCAGTGACACAGCAATGGGAGAAACAGAAAGGCAGACTTAAAGAGAGTCACAAATGAACTCGTGGGTGCAATGTTTCTCTCCAGGCACAAGTGTTCTTCCTGCATAATGGTGTTTCTGAGGTCACACCAATTTTTGAATAAAACCACAGCTTGGTTTGGTACAGATTGATGTTCTCATGGTCTGAAAAGATATGCTCACTATTTAACTGGATTTCACATACATGAAGTGGAATAATTAGAGTTTCCAGTGCTATTTTGAAGGTTTGCTCTTTTCCAGTGAAGCCTGTAAATCCAGGGCTGATGCTTTCCCATCCATCCAGGGGTGGTGTTTTAATGGGTGTGGATTTCTTGCAGCTTTGTGCCACGGACAAAACGCTGGAGTTCGACAGGGACTTCCGGATCAAACACTACGCTGGGGACGTGATGTGAGTCCGTGTCACAGATAAAGTTGTACCTTCTCTTTCTGTCCTTTCCCCAGCTCTGAAGTGGTAGAATATTCTGATTTACTGCTGCCAGCCAGAGCTCTGTCACCCACAATTACAGTGTGCAGCATTGGCTTATCAATTAAATCTGCTGCTCTCCAGAGTGGGGGGTTGTGCTTGGAAGGAGACAAAAGGAAGGGTGAGGGGAGAGCTGAGCTCCAGGGAAAAAAAAGGAGGGAAAAAAAGGCAGCAGTGTTTATGCAAGGAAGCTACACTGAGCTAATAAAATCTGCTTTAGACATCTGTTTAGAGTGATTATGTAACTCTGGCTTTAAATTCTCAATCAGTGTGAGCTCAGAGCATGGGGGGGTTTAACCTGCAGGAGGGGTGGGAAGTCAGGAACGTGTACAGGAGGTGGGAGCAGTGGGAAGGAGGAGTAAGTGGAAGTGAAAGGTGCACATGTTCCCTGGGAAAGCTGTCTGGAATATCACTGGAGTCATTTAATGCTGTGGGATTGGTGTGATTTCCTGCGACAGCAGAGTCTGCAGGGAGTTACTGAGGGAATAACTCAGGATTTCTTTTAACTTGGAATAAAATTTACCTACAATTTAGGAGAGTAACCAGTGTATTCATATTGGAGATTTGAGGGTGGGCAGGCCCTGGCACAGGCTGCCCAGAGAAGCTGTGGCTGCCCCTGGATCCCTGGAAGTGTCCAAGGCCAGGTTGGAGCAACCTGGGCTAATGGAAAGTGTCCCTGCCCATGGCAGGATGGGCTTTAAGGTCCCTTCCAACCCAAACCATCCCATGATTTTATGGTTTGAGGGTGGCTCCCTGCAGGGATTTGCATGCTCTTCATCCCAGAGCTGCAGTTTGGGTGCAGATTCCCAGGTGGGATCTGGAGCTCAGGAAAGAACCGAGTGGGAGTCACCGAATGGGGAGACTTTGGGCCTTTTCCTTGAGGACAGAGCACTTGAGTCTTGGAGAAGAGATAAAACTCTGAAGCAGTGATGTTCCAGAAACATCCAGTGATGTTTCTGTGGGAATAAAAATGGGGAGGAGTCCAAAATGTGTGTGTGTGTGTCTGGATTTCCAGGAGAGTTCCCCAGTCACTGCTCCTGATTTCAGGCCCTCTCCTACCAGAGGATCTTCCCTGACACCAAGAGAGGGGCAGATTAGACATACTGAAATCAAACCTTAATTTCCTTAGGATTTAGGCTCAAACACTCGGTTTAGGGGCAGAAATCCTGAGTGTAACTCTTGAATTTGGGCCACCTATGACCTGCCCAAGCCCTAGGAGGTGTCTCAGCCTTTACGTGCACAGCTCAAACACTTTTCTGAACCAGGGATCTGCAGTGTCTGTAGGAGTCCAGGGATGCTGATTCCACCCAGAAACCAGCAGTTCACAGGAGGGCTTTGCTGCTTTGCAATTAACTCCATTTTCCTTTTTTTTTTTTAGCTACTCAGTCACTGGATTTATTGACAAAAACAAGGACACTTTATTTCAAGACTTCAAGCGCCTCATGTACAACAGGTAGGAGTATCAATGAGGTGAATTTTAAGCTGATTTGTCAGAGTCCTGTTTTGTGGAGGGGATGGTAGCAGAGACTGAGCTTTTCACTGGCTCTGTCTCTGTGTGAACAAACACATTGCTTGGGGATCTGATCTTTGCCCACCCACCGTGACCTGAGGGCTCTCAGTTTGATTTTGCAGGTTAAAGTCCCTGTACGTGTCGGTTTGGTTCTGACAGAGCCTTTAATTGCACTAAATTTAAAGTGCTGGTTTGAAACCAACTGATTGTGCAACCAAGATAGTGCAGAGATTGCTTGTGCTGCCTGATTTGTCATTAACCAGGTTTTTGGGCCAGTTGCAGATGTGCCATCGCTGCTCTGGCTTTAATCAGTGCTAAGGATGCTGATGAGTAGCTTTGGTCAACAACAGATATCCTTGCCCTCAGCTAAAACCCCCTGTTTGGAAAGAAATTACAGGGTAAAGTGGGCAGATAGATTTGAGTCCTTTCACATGTGCAGTGACATGAAAATGGAAACCGTGACCTCACGTGCTGGGCAAGGCCAAAGTGCCTCTGAGAAGCAGGTTGGAAACCCATCAGAATGTGTGTGTGAGTGCCCAGAGAGCTGCTTTCCTTCCCAGCTGGCATTGAAAAACACCTTCTGACCCTGGTAACCGTGGCACAAACACCCTGTTTTACCTGGGCAGCATTAACTTGCTTTCCCTGTGCTGTGGTGTTGACTCTCTGTGCTGCCCTGAACAGCCCCACTGTTCCTGTTTTGAACACTTCCCGTTGACCAAAAAACCTTGCAAAATATTTGCTGTGCAGAGGCTTTGTTAAATTTAGCCTGTTTCCTGTGAAGGCTCTGGAAAAGCCTGTTCCCAAACAGCACTTGCAGCACGTTAAAGCTGTGACAGATTGGCCATTGCATTGCTGGAGCTCAGTCCCTGTCTCTTCCCCAGCTCCTGCCATCCATCAGGGCCACTTTACCTCACCCTCAGCCCTTCAAAAAGATAGGCTAAAGTGTGTAAATTGCTTGATATATCCAGAGTGGTGCAGAAACACAGCTTGAAATCAGGTCACAGTTTCCCAGGGAGGATGTTGTGGGTCTTGCTCTCTTCTGTTTTGATTAAATTCGTTATGTTGTGTCTGTAAATCAGACCCTGCCTTTGATGGATCACCCCAGAGGGATTGTCACTGTCCCATCCCTGCACATCCTGATCTGAAGAGAGAATGTGCTGCTTGGTTGGTGTTTTTTTTTTTCAGAATATTCAGTTGTAAGCTTGAACTTGCTCTCAGAATCAGGAGATGTTGTGCCTGGGATGTCACAGTGCTTTGGCTGATGCTCTGTGAGCTGAAAGCAGCAGTGGAGCTGCTGAATTTTGAATGGAGTGGAAGTGCTGTTAGACTGGGAATTAAAGACACTCTCTTGTAGCTCCAACCCTGTGCTGAAGATGATGTGGCCTGAAGGGAAGCTGGGCATCACTGAGGTCACCAAGAGACCTCTGACAGCTGCTACTCTGTTCAAGAACTCCATGATTGCCCTGGTGGACAACCTGGCACTGAAGGTAAAGATTTCTGCTTCAGAGTTGACTCCAGCTCCTCATGAGCTGGGGGGAAGCTTCTCCCCCCTTCCCATCACTGCCATCCATCAGGGAGCTGAGCTGATCAGAGGCAGAGCAGCTTTGGATGTGCCCCTGGGCAGCTGGGAAGATCTCATGGGAGGGTCACCTGCCACCCCTCCATAGAAAACCTGGAATTCTGGTTCCTCTGGGACCAGTGGAGCTTTCACTCATAGGAAAGCCAGTCTGTCTTAGGTGATAATTATTATATCAGGTGAACAATTATCTTTAGCAAAGCTCTTTGACAGAGGGCCCAGAGGAGGTCGTTCATGGTGTTCAGATTCTCTCTGGCTCCCAAATCCAATGGGTTTCCATGAAAATACAGCCAGACCTGTGTGAGTTCCTTCTTCCCTCCTCTTTGCCGTGTCAGAGGGTGAGGAGAGGTCTCGTTCAGGAGTGGGTTTGCTGTGCAGCAGCAGCAGCAGCTCTGCAGGAGGGGCTGGGAGCCCCCCAGAGCTGCCTCCCCACTGGGGAACAGAACCCCCAGCACATTTTGCCTGCCAAGAGGAGGCCCCTGCTGGCCCAGCCCAGGGCCAGGTCTTGCTAAAACAGGCACCACTGATGAAAACTGAGAGAGATCCTCCCCCAGCAGCCAGAGAGGAGCTTTCCTGGATGGCAAAGCACGAGCTGTTGGGGCTGGAAAAGGTGGCTGTGACCCTGATGGGGAGATGGGGACAGACTTCATTCTGAGTGTCCAAAGAGTCAGGATTTACCTGATCTCTCAGTCCTCCAAATAATCTGCTGGCTGGGCCTAACCTGGATTTGGTGCAGAGGTGTCAAGAGCACAGGGAGGTTTTCTCTGGGCTGTGAAAAGGAGCAGGTGGGGAAGGAAAAGATTCTCCTTGATGCTGCTCCTTCTTGCCCAGCCCGATGTGGGGGATCCTGAGGCACCTCCTGAGGGGGTTCAGTGCAGACAGAAACACTGTGGGGTTGCTGTGAAGGGCTGTGAGCAGGGGGGACAGCAGGGAGGCTCAGCAGGTGGCCATGGAAAAAACTTCATTTCCTTGTTCACTGGAATAATTATTCCAGGCCACCTGCAAGCTGTAAAAATAGAATGGTCAGGAGAATGCCCTGTGGTGGTTTGAGCAATCCCTGCAGCTCCCAGCAGGGCATGAGGGGTTTGAATGGCACCTTCTCCATCCTGAGGCAGTGGGTACCAGCATTCCTCACTGGAATTGGCTGGGTTGTGTGGAGTGAGTTCCTTTCAGACCATTTATCATCACTATCTCCCAAATGCCAGCCTTTCCCAAGGCGTAACCAGGAGCTGTTTGCAGGCCAAATTCACGAGGAATTTGGGTCTCAGTGTAGTCCTTTCCCATTCTTTGCCTTCCCTAAACCTTCACTGAGAAACTTGTACTGAAGATATCTGGGTTTTCCTCCTTTTCTGTTGAGATTTTCCCATATCCAGCTGAAACCTCCCCTGGCACAGCCTGAGGCCGTTCCCTCTCCTCCTGTCCCTTGTTCCCTGGAAGCAGAGCCCGACCCCCAATCCCATCTCCCCCCTCCTGTCAGGGAGTTGTAGGAAATACTGGTGAGGCCCATCCTGCAGCCAGGATTTCATTCTGGGGAGGTTGTTGGATGAGGCTCCTGAGCACAATCACTGTGCACTTCAATCAGTAAATCAGAGTGCAGAGGGGGAGTGAGTGCTTCTGTGTGGCTGCCCTGCCCTGGGGGTCTCTCTGAGGTCACTTTGGGGACAGTTAACGATATGTGCATGTCATTAGCCAGCCAATAGCTGGGCATTCAAGCCTTGATTTTGAGATACTGGCTGTGCACAAATCAATGGGTGCTCTGGGCCCTTGCCAGTTGGGATCCTTGTCTCTGCCCTCCCCCTGCAGGGACTGGTGAAGCCACTGTCTGTTTTGGGGACACCACCCCTGCAGTTCAGGTGCTCTGACCCTCCCTTGGGGCCCTGCTACTCATTTTTTCCATGCTGACCTGGGGGCTGGAGCTGCACTTGTGGGGAGCAACAGCGACAACATCTGCGTGTCTGACTGTGGTTCAGGCTCTGCAGGGCTGTTTTGGGAAGCCTGTGGTCACAGCTGATGGAAACAGCTCTGAAAACAGCCTTGCACAAGCTGTGTGAGCTGCTGTGGTTTAGGGGTGTCACAGGAATAAGGTTCCATAGGGAGAGGTAAAACCAGTTCATGTTTTGCTCAGCTGTTTCTCAAAAATCCAAGAAGAAAGGCTTGAGTTTTGCTGCAGTTTGAGCTGATGATTTATTCACGTTATCTGAGTGTGCCCAGTGCAGGCAGAGCTGCTGCCTCATCCTGGCCTCCCCTTCCACCTGGGCTGTTCATACATTCCCTGAAAACTCTTTAAACCATATTTTTATGCTCAGTTTTCTACAGTCCCCAAAACAGGGTGGCAGCCCAGGAGCTCCTCTTCATTGACACGCATTTGGCCTTCCTGAAAAGCTGAAGGGTTTTTTGGCTGTACCAGCAGTACCTTTAAACCTTTTTGGGGGAATAGTCTCCAAAAGGGCCAGTTTGGGGGGCAGGAATAACAATAATCACTGAGCCACAGAATTGTTAAGGTTGGAAAAGACCTTTAAGGTCTTACCCCAAGAGCCTTTTGGGCACAAACCTCTGGTAGACAGAAAAAAACCACTCTTATTTTGGTTGGTTTTTTCGATGGAAAACCCGACTGGCTCTCTGAGTTGCCACATTCCTTTTCTCAAGCCCGTGTTTTCCTGCCTCTGTGCTGTTCCCTGGAGGATTTGGTCTCTCTGAGGAGGATCATTTTGGGTGGATTTTTTGTAAATCCTGACGCAGGAGGGTCCTGTGGCTGCCCCAGAGCTGCTCTGGGAGCTCTCTGGACGTGCATCTCTTCCTTTGTTCTGTTCTTTTCTTCCCCCCCCCCCACCTCCTCTGCAACTCCTTTTGTTTGACTCTTCCTTCCATCCCTCCCCTCTCCTATCCAGGCTGACAGGCTTCATCTCCAGTAAGTTTTAATGTCACCAGCTGTGACTGATGGGACAAATCCAGCACAAATTTGTCAGTCCTGTCTCCTACCCCCTCTCTCATCCAAGAGCTACAAACTGTTGAAAAGAAACCTCTGAAGGAGGAGTTTGTTTAGTGTGCAATGGCTCGAAACTGGTTTGTTTTCTTTTTTTTAACACCTAAAAACCTTAAAATCGTCGGGTTTGATTAAAAAATAAAACGGGTTGCAATTAGGCATCTGAAGAGCTCTCAGAGCGGGGTCTTTGTGTCTCTGCATTTCAGTTCTTCCCTTTAGAAAGTGCAGTTCTCTGACAGGAAGAATGGGAGCTGCATAATTATCCCCCTGAAGAGCTGGGGCTGGGGGGATTGGAAGCCTGGAATAATCTACTTTAGAATTTACCCTTGAAGCTGTCGTTGCTGAGAGGCTTTAATTGCACTGTAATTGCACTGATGGATGATCTCCTGTCTGTGCAGGCACTTCCCAATCCCGCTTTCCAAAGGGTTTCAGCCCTTTTATATCAAAAGCAGACACATTTGGTCCCCTTTGTGCCCAACCTGGAGTCACAGATTGGAGGGGTTTTTTTTGCATTTCTGAGTGGCAGGGCTGTCCCTGATGGGGCTGTGCTGGGGTCCTGTGTCAGCAGGGAGGGACAGACACCATCTCCCCTGAGGCAGAGGGGGGATGACTTCATGCTCCTAATGATGGGTTATCCAAGGAACCTGTGGCTGCCCCTGGATCCCTGGGAGTGTCCAAGGCCAGCTTGGACAGGGCTTGGAGCAACCTGGGATAGTGGAAAGTGTCCCTGCCCATGGCAGGGGGTGGCACTGGATGATCCTCAATGTCCCAATTTCCAACCCAGTGATTCTTTAATTGGGGTCTTGTGTTCCCAAGGTGTTGGAATTCTGTGGATTGAATGTGGGATATTTGTGCTATCAACCTCAAAAAAGTGATTTATGCTCCTCCTGCCATCAGGTGCAGCACAGGGCAGGTCTGGCATGGCCTGGCACCACCTGATGTTGGTGACTCTGCTCCTGACAGAGTACTGGGTAACAGGAGACAGGACAAGAGGAAACGGCCAGGAAGGTTTAGGTTGGATATCAGGAAAACTTTTGTCACTGAAAGGGCTGTCCAGCCCTGGCACAGCTGCCCAGGGCAGTGGTGGAGTTCCCATCCCTGGAAGTGTTGAGAAAACCTGTGGGTGTGGGTTAGTGGAGAAAACAGTGGTGGTGCTGAGTTGATGGCTGGGCTGGATGGTCTTAAAGGTCTTTTCCAACCTCAATGATTCCATGGATCTGTGAATTACCATGGCAGAAGGAAGTGCTCCGTGCTGGTGACTTTGTAGGAGACCTCACACAGAGCAGAGCTGCCTGGTGGAATGGAATCATCTTGGAATCATCTTGGAATCGTTTGGGTTGGAAGGAATCTTAAAGCTCATCTCAGAATCACAGAACATTGTGAGTTAGAAGGGACCCCCAAGGACCATCCAGTCCAAACCCTCCTGGAGCTCTGGCAGCCTTGGGGCTGTGCCCACTGCCCTGGGGAGCCTGGTCAGTGCCAAACCATCTCATTCCACCCCCTGCTGTGGGCAGGGACACCTTCCACTATCCCAGGCTGCTCCAAACCCCATCCAGTGTGGCCTTGAAGTGTCCTGGGGAAGCTGCACCCTTGGAATTCCTCCTGTGAGCCCTCTGCTCCCTGAGGAAGAGCTGAATGAGGACAGTGCTGCCCTGGCAGGGGCTCAGCTGATTTTTGGGGAGCTGGGCACTGTTTCCCTGTGTCCTGCTCTGCCTCAGTCCCCTGGGAAGGAGAGGAGCCAAGAAGGCTGTGGAGGAGCTGTGCCTGACACACTTTGTGGGAGCACTGGAGTTACTGGGAGAAGGGAGATGACATAAGGACGGATGTTGCCCACACATCCTGCTGTTTGTTCCACGTTCCTCATACCTATCCCTGCTCCTGGGCTGCTTCCTGGAGGGTGGGCAGCTCCAGGATGCTGCCAGCTCTTTGTGGGTGCTTAGCTCAGATTTTCCTCGCTCTCCTCGTCGCTCGATGTTCCCATCCCGAGGACAACCCTCCAGGAGAAATCCCAGGCTCCTGCTGCTGATGGCATCCTTGAGAAAGCAGGGAAACATTCCAGCCCCAAACCTTCCCCAGTGCCTTATATAATAGCTTTTAGGATATGCTTTTAGGATAACCCAGAATAGTCAAGGCTGGTCCTGTTTCTTCAGCATTCCTGAAGGGAAACAGCAATTCCAGGCCTTTCCCATTATCCTGAGATGAGGGGGGTGAGCTCAAATCACAGAGAGATCATAGAAAGTAGGGCTGAAGGGGACCCTGGGAGTGCACCCAATTCACCTCCTGTTTGGGGACACCTCTGCCTGTATCTTCCCTTTCAGGTGCTCGTTCAGGCTGTTCTCTCTAGTGATGGAGAATCCCTCCTTTCCTCAGGCTCTGCTCCCACTCCTTGTTTTCCTGAAGCCTGTAATTTGAGTTTTTATACCATGGTTAAAGCCAATTCTTCTGTGTCCTAAAACTGAATGTTCACATTTCCCCCTATCTACCCTTTAAATGCATAAAATCTACACCAGGATGGTTCTGTGGCTCCTTGGTCCTTCTGGACTAAAACTGTATTTCCTCTAAGTCACATTTGCTGGATTTTTTTTTTATCTTTCTTGTTCTTGCCTGCACTGACTCACTGTTCCCACTTGAACTGCAGGGCCCTGTGTGAGGTGTTCAGAGAACCAGAAATCTGTTGGTTTTTTTTTTGTCTTGCAGTTTTCCTCTTCTTGTGCCCTTTCCTAGAAAAACATGAACCTGCCTCGTGTCAGCTTGAACTCCTGCATCTCTTTGTAAAATCAGTTTATTTATTAATCAGCTGTCTCTGCTAAATGTGGACCTTTGCATTTGTTCTCACTGAATTAACCCCCTTTTTTCCCCTTGCCCAGACCACTCTCCTCTTTGTTACCATTGTGGGTTCTTGAGGCTGTCCAGGAGTGCTGGGACACAACAGACTCCTCTGGAGATCCTTGGGGGCTTCCCTTTGGAGCTCCCTCTGGTTCCTGGGAGCAGTTTCACAGCCCCAGCTTCCTCCTGTCCAGGGCAAAGCTGCTGAAATGTCATTCCTGGTTATCAGTTGTGGTCATCAAAGGGGACATCTCATGGCTGTGGAGAGAAAAAAAGGAATTAACTCCAAGACCCAGTGGGATGGAAGTGCCCAAGTGTAAAGGCCTTGAAGCCACCCCTCCCACTGGTGCTGGTTACAGACCACGTTGACCTAACTGAAAGCTGCCTTTAATCGACTAAAAATGAAACATCAAAACACTCTAACAGGCCTGATCTCCCAGTGAAAGGTGTGGGACACACCAGAGCATCCAGGATCAGCCCAGGCAGGGGCAGGACCCCTGGACTGTGTGGGGAGTAAAGCTCACCCATCCCTGTTCCACCTTCTCTGCCCCCTGCACGTCCAGGGGGGTGCAGAGAGAGGAACTCTCTCTGGTTTGTGTTTGTCCTGAGGGCTGGAGGCAGCAGGAGGTTGGAGTTCAGTCGTTCCCACCCTTCAGGCCTGTTGGAACAGGGTTTAGACTTGGTTCAGCACAGCTAAAACTGAGATGAGCTCAGCTGGTCAGAGCCTGGTGCTGATAATGCTGAGGTTGTGGGTTCAGTCCCTGCAAGTTCCCTGAAGAGCTGGACTTGAAGATCCTTGTGGGTCCCTTCCAATTCAGAATATACTGGGAAAAGCTGGAGCAATCCATGCTGCTTTTAGAGGAGATGCTGGGAAAGCCATATCCAACAGGGCAATGACTTCCATGTTCCTTATTCCGTGTAAATACATCTCTTCCTCACAAGTTGTTTCCTAGGCAGAGCATCAACCTTAACAGCTTCACTGCATCAGACACGTTCAGGTGTTAGCTTCTGTTTGCCCAAATGCAGCTGCAGGATGGTTCTTGACTTTTGGCAGGAGAGATGTATCACAGTCAGTGTCAGCAATTACAAAATCTGGGGTTTGTTTCAGTTCACTTCTGGTTTTGTTCAGGCCAATCTTTGCACACCAAGGATTGAAAGCGACTCCCTTCTTAGAGTTTACCATTCAGAAGAAAAGGACTTGAGCCTTTATCCCCAACTCCCAAATCGTGCATGGAGGAAGGAGGGAAAAGGCAGAGGATGGAATGGAGCAGAAATTGATACAGCTGCAGATTTCCCACAGGATTGGGATTCAGAACTTGCTTTCTGTGCTCACCCCAAACACTCAACGTGACGGCGTTTTATGTCTAGGGAGTTTTCACTGAGGGGACAGCTGTGTGTGCTCAGACCTTTCCTTCTCCTGGGTGACCCTGGGTGTGATCTGTCCCCCCAGGAGCCCTACTACGTGCGCTGCATCAAGCCCAACGACAAGAAATCCCCCCAGCTGTTCGACGAGGAGCGGTGCCGGCACCAGGTGGAGTACCTGGGGCTGCTGGAGAACGTGCGGGTGCGCCGGGCGGGCTTCGCCTACCGCCAGACCTACGAGAAGTTCCTGCACAGGTAAGAGCTGCTGGCAGGGGGATGGATCAGCCCCTTGCAGTGTTTTATTGGTTTCTTCTTTGTTTTGTTGGCTTTGAGCCTCGGGAAATACTTTAACGCGCGTTCTCGCCCTGTTCCGTTTCTCCCCCCTTCCAAAAATCCCCGCCAAACAAGCCCACTTTCGCCTTCCTCGACACCACACTCTTCCACTCTTCCACTTCACAGCCCTCCTTATTCTGTTCCCTGTCACTGGAGCCTTAGAAAGCAAAATATTCAACTTCTAAACCACTCGAATAGTTCATGAAAAGCGTTGGTCTTGTAGACCAGAGGTTGAAGGCTGCTCTCTTCTTGGAGTTTACCATTCAGGAAAAAAAAAGGAATTAAGCCTTTATTCCCAACTCCCAAAGCTGGTATTTTCAATTAAACTATTTCCTGACACTTCCCTATCCTTAAAGCCTCATTTCCCCCCCCAAAAAACATTTTGTGTGTTTGGATGCACTTCCTTGCATTAAACCATCCGCCCCGTTCACATCTCACTCCTGCAGGAGTTTTCATAAAACCTGAATGTGTAAATCTATGTAAATGAGTGGGATTTGGCTCTCCTCTAGAGTGAAGTCAAGTCCTCTGGGACTCTTGAGCCTGTGGCTGTGGGTGTGTTTGGTGTAAATCAGCTGTTGGGTCTCACAGGATCCCCCCTTGCTCCGGTTTTGTGTCAAGGTGTGTGTCCTGCTCAAGCCCAACTCCTTGTCTGCTGAGTTCCATTTACTGTGTTACCCCACAGCAGGAATGTGTAATGAGGTCCTTCCCCAGAGCATAACCCTAAAACCTGAGCTAATTAACTTGTGTTTTTCTCTCTGAACATTGGTTGTTGCAGGGAGGGACAGACAGACGTGGTGTGTCTGGGGAAGGTCCACAGTGACACTGTGTGGGAGGAAACCACTTCAAAACTGGATGTCTGAGAAAGGGATGATATCATGACCCCATCAAGCATGTTTTTGATACTTTTTGCCCCCTTAATTCCCGCCAGACCTGTGGCAAATGACATGTTTTAGATTGAAATTTGCCTTAAGGCTTCAGTAATTTGACACTGGCCCTGCGAATTCAACCTCCTCTGATGGAACAGGGAATGGAGTTCCAGTTCTGTTAATGAATCAGGGGAGGAAAGGGCCATGGGGGTAGAAAAGAAAATGAACTATCTGAGCAGGTCATGAGTTAGAAACAAAGTGCTGGTGAAAGATTTGCTGCTGCTCAGAGTGAAGATTTGCCTGGATAGATCCCGATCCCCACAGTGGAACGAAAGGCTCCAGCTTCCTAAATCCAGCCTGCAGTGCTTGGGGATCAGCTTCCCTGAACATTCTGCACTGCTGGGAGTGTGCTTTCACCTCACATGTGGAATCCATTACAATTTACTCCTCAGATCTGTGTAATCACTGTTAATATAAACAGCTGCTTTGTTTTTAATGAATGTTTGATGAGCTCCCGTAAGCTGCGGCCCCGAAGTGTTTGCAGCCAGGAAACCAAATCAGCACATGGCAACTGCTGCAGCTTCTGGGCTGCTGGGGACACGTGTTCTGCTCAGCCCTGGAGTGGGATTAAACCTCCAAACCCCCAGTGTGGGCTCAGACACTGGGTTTGTGTGTCGGGGGGGTTGCTCTGAGCCTGCTCTACGCTGACTTCTCTGAATTAAAAAGTGAGGGGGAATATTCCTCTGGCCTCCTGGCCTGGATATTGTTTTGGGTTGTCTTCCAGAGTTCTTTGTTCCTTGTCTTTGGGTGAGCCATTCCCTCCTAGGGGCTGGGGGGTATGATCTTGTGGTACAAGCTGCACGTTTCTGAGCTGGTTTAGAGCAGGGATCACATCTGTTCCTTTATATTTACACTTACCAGGCTTATTTGGAGATTGGGAATGTGGAGGAGACTCCAGGCCCTTCAGCCTGGGCTCTTGCAGTGCATGTGGGGCAGGTCTAAAGGCAGAACTTGAGTGATTTTGAGATGTAACTTTGTCATCTGTTGGCTTACATTCACAAAGATATGACAAAGTTCAGGCCCACAAACAGACATTTAACATTTAACTCCCTGACAGGCCCCTGAGACTCTCAGGTGTTCTGAGCCCAGAACAGATCCCTGGGTTTTGTGTTGCTGGTTCCTCTTAGAGACCACAGAAGATCTAGATCTGGTTATATATAGATAAGAGATAACATACATATATAATACATATATGAGTGCATGTATGTCCATGTGCATATAAAACATAAAAAACCAACTCTCCTTTCTGTAGGAGAAGAGTTTGGTGCTGTTTAGCCCTAAATCCTGTAAGGTGGTTGATATCTCCTCTCTCCCAGCAGGAATGAAGTGAAGCACAGTCAATGAATAGATGTTGTCCTTTTTAACTTGCCTTGAAATGAAAAAAAAAAACCCTTTGAGCTCTGTGCAAGCCAGGCTGCCCTTTCCAGTTTGCAGAAAGTGAGCTCTAGATATTTTCAGCTGGGTCAGGGGTTGCTGTGCCTTCCCTGCATCTTCCAGTCAGGTGCCACACGTGAACCTTCCGTGGGCGGGATGGATTCTTGTGCTTTAATATATAACTTGCTATCCAAAAAATGCTGGTTGGGTTTCAGGAAGGGGGATGTGAGTGTAATCCAACCCTTTTCCCCACATGTGCCTATTCCAGGCCGTGTCACACGTGCCGTGGAAGCGACACCGGGAGCTGTGACCGGGCGGTGGGAAGGGGGGAGTGGCCCAGCTGCATCTGCACCCCCAGTGCTGGTCATCAAAGCCTCGTGGTTCTGTGGCTTAGGAGAGCTGGACTGGGAGCTGTTTGCTCCAGGAGCAGCCTTGTCCATGCTGGGTGTTCCCACAGTGAGGTTGAGGGAGAACAGAGGTGGCTGGGAAGGGATGTTCAGTGGGTGAGTGCCCTGGGAAGCTGTGGGATGTGCAGGCAGGCCAAGGGAGGGCTGTGGTGGCAGTGAGCAGCTTTATTCTGGGTTCTGCCTCGCTATAATTAGCAGCCAGGCTGGGGCTGTGAGTGGCTGTGGCAGCCAGACCGTGCTGGAGCTGCAGGGAAGGAGTTGGTGGCATTGGAGACACGTGGGAGGGACAGGAACAGCCGGAGTGCTGGGATACCCCCCACCTGGGGGACAGAGCAGGGGGGCCACTGGCCTCAGGGGTGTCTTTGGGTGCCATAGGGGGCTTTGTTGGAAAGGAGGAAGAGGATTTAACGTTTGGGGCAGGTTTTCAGTTCTCTGCCATCCCTTTTCTCCTGCTCCCCTTGGCAGGACAGGCCTGGCTCGGAGCCTGGTCCATGGTCATGTTCCCAGCCTGGTCCATCCCCTGGTTCCCAGCCCTGGGGTCTGCACTCCCACCCTACTTGGCTCTTTGTTTTTCATTTTTTCCTGACACATTTGTCCCAAGGTGGAAGATTTTCCCAGTGAATCCATTCTTGCAGGAACATTTTCCTGAGGAGAGCAGAGCAGGGCAGGGAAGCAGTGTGCAGTATTGATGTCCTGGGTGTGTTTGAGAGCAGGGATGCTTTTGCCAGCCAAGTGCATGTGCAAAATCCTCTTCTGTGAGTCTGAACAGGGGTTTTATAGGGCTGTTTATTAAGCAGTGAGCTGATGGTGTTCCCTGTTTACTGTGCACCTCCATTTTCCCCCTTTTCCACAGCGTATTCCAAAGGCTGATTTGATGAATGAACGTGACACTGGGATGTGTTTCCATCTGGGCTTGTTTCAGCCCGTTCAGCACCTCCTGCAGTGCCCCCACCCCCAGGAAAAGGCTGATTGTGTGGCTGTTCAAGTGTAGCTGAGATTTCTGAATGTCTGAAACACTGAAATTAATACTTGGCTCGGCTCGGGGGGCTTTTAAGTGAGAAGTGGCTGAGATTGCTCCGTGCCTGTTTTATTTAGAACATGAACGTGGGTCCAATCGCAGGGAAAGTGTCTATTACAGTTTTTATTATGCCCATAAATCTTGTGCAGAAAATTCATTGTTGCCTTTTTGCAAAGGCCTGTTCACCTAATCAGCACTTTGCAGGGCTGGGAAGTCTTTACAGAGAGCTGGGGGCTGCTCCTCACCCTTCGTGTTTGATTTGTAGTTCTCTTGGTTCCAAGCTGCGTTTTGTGTAGTTGGGAAGAGGGGTTTGGAGGGGGAGGATGGGAGGAATGACTGACCCACAGCCCCAGGCAGTGGGGGTTGCACAGGCTGGGGCAGTCAAGGCTCTGCTGCTGGGGGAACAGAGTCTGTTGGAACTTTGGCTCCCCAAGTGCAGGATTTTTAAAATCTGGGTCTTCTGACAAAACCATTGGTTGCAGGTGGCTTCTGATGCAGGATATGAGTGAACCAAAGCTTTCCTTCCCCACAAAAAACCAAAAAAAACCAACAAAACATTAAAATTGTATGCCGAGTGTGAATAATGGAACTGCCAGATCTGCAGGAGGCCAGTGCTGAGGTTTGTCCTCTTGCATCAGCTCAGTGCTGATGAAATGAGCTCCTCCTAGCATTCCTTTTCAGCTTCTCACAGAATGTCTTTTAAGTTCATCTTTCTTGGGTTTTGAGGATCACGATCCCTCCAGGGAGCATCTTTGAGGCTCTTCTACCTACAATCAGTTTTATTAGGGTTTGTTTCGATCACTCCTAACACCTGTTGAAGGTCAGCGTCGTTGAGGACCCTCAATGACACGTTCCCATCTCCAAACTGTCCCTAATCCCGCCAGGTACAAGATGATCTCGGAATTCACGTGGCCAAACCACGACCTGTCCTCGGACAAGGAGGCCGTGAGGAAGCTGATCGAGTGCCACGGCTTCCAGCACGACGTGGCCTACGGCAAGACCAAGCTCTTCATCCGCACGCCCCGCACCCTCTTCACCCTGGAGGAGCTGCACGCCAAGATGCTCGTCAGGATCGTCCTCTTCCTGCAGAAGGTAAAATAAAAGCTCAGCTCAAGTGCTTTAAAAAGCTCAGCTCGAGGTTTGTTTAAAGCAGCGTTGCTGCCTCTCCTGGGCTCAACCCGTGGAAGGGACCAGAGTGCCGGTTTGGTCACGGCCTGGGTTTTTTGAAGGCTGTTTTTGGTGGTGCTCTCTGTGCCTGCAGTGAGGTGGGATGTGCTGTGAGTCCAGCACCTGAAGCATTTTTGGTTACTGATCAAAAAACTCGCTCTTTCCCCTCTGGAAGGAGCGTGTCTGGGAACCTGAGGGACTTCAGTGGCTGAAACACAGGATGGGTTGGGTTGGAAGGGACCTTCAGGATTTTTCCCTGCATCCCCAGGGGGGTCAAGGCCATCAGCTGCAGAGCCACTGATGAACTGTCACACATGGAAACCTGTCTAAGCCTCTGTGTGCATCGCTGTGACACATGGATTGCACGAGAGGGACTTTGGGTGAGGGCCTGGAGGGACAGGATACAGGGAATGGCTTCCCACTGCCAGAGGGCAGGTTAGATTGGGGGTATTGGGAAGGAATCCTTCCCTGTGAGGGTGGGCAGGCCCTGGCACAGGTTGCCCAGAGAAGCTGTGGCTGCCCCTGGATCGCTGGAAGTGTCCAAGGCCAGGTTGGATGGGGCTTGGAGCAACCTGGGCTGGTGGAAGGTGTCCCTGCCCATGGCAGGGGGTGGCACTGGATGGGCTTTAAGGTTCTTTCCAACCCAAACCATCCTGTGATTTTCTGCTTTTGGTACTTGCTGAAATCTGTGTCTGTACGAGTGAGATGTGTCTGGCCAAGAGCAGATGATGGTGAGACTGACTGTCCTAACTACAGGGTTTGTTGATTAGTTCAAGATTTTTACAAATGTGTTTCTTAGAATGTGTATTTTCTTGTCATTCTTGGAACTTCTGAACCCCTTTCTGTGCATCACAAATAGAAGCTGCCAACACGTGGGTGTAAAAACTTCACAGAGCAGAAACTCACTCTGAAGCTCTGCAGGTACCACAGCTTTGCACAAACTCTCCAAAAACCTGATGGACTGACTCAGTTTTGGGGAGGTTTAAGAGCCTGAAGCAGCAGTTCCCCCCTGCAAGCCCCAGTAGCCCTGTGGAACACCCCCATTGGTGGTGTTTGCAGTGCCTGGGATGTGATTCCCTTTCTGGAAAGCCAACCAACCTGACCAGTATGGGAGCAGAAAGTGCCAAGTCCAGGGCTGGTCTCTGCTGGTGTCTGTTGTGCTGGATGGGCTGTATTTAGTAAGGAATTCTGTAATTTTGTGTGTGATGAGTTTCTCTGGAAGTGCCAAGCTCAGGCTGGGCAGGATGTGGGCCCTGCCCTTCTCTGAGCTTTGTGGGTCCAGAGTTTTCTTCCCTGTTTTCAGCAGGGTCCTGCTGCTGAGCTTCACCACTCCTTCCTTGGATACTCATCATCATCATCTTCCAGGTCTCTTCCCTGGAAAGAGCAGCACTTCTCCAGCAGCCTGAGCTGATTTATCCCTTTGGGATGACCTGGGGGGCCCCTCACACACCCCAGGAGGTGTTTGTGGATCATTAGCCGGGCCTCCCCCGTGCTCTCCGTGGTTTCCAGGGAGGAGTTCCCTGCCTGCAGCCACTTTGTGAGCACACTGGTCTCGTTTGGTGCATCCAGGGAGGTCACTGGGCCGCACCATTAACCCAGGGTCTCTTTTTCCTGCAGCAGAACAGGGTGAGTTAATGAGCTCCTCCTTGGATAAAGCTGCAGGGGGGACACCTTGCTCCCAGGTGACCCCGGGTTTCACATGAAACCACTGGGGGGTTGAGAGGTGACCTTTTTGGAAAGGCAAGGTGCAGTTACTGGAGGGTAATTTAAAAGGCTGTGGAAGCTGCTGATGGCTCAGTGCAAGGGCAGCACGAAGCTCCTCCTGCAGACCCATCCAGGGGGAGGCCCAGCTTTAACAGCAGCTCAGCTTTGAGGGTTTGCTGCAAAGATCAGGATTGCACAGTCTGGACTGGGATCTGGGCCCTGGAGGAGAGCAGGGCTTTGCCCCCACAACTACCAGATTAGGAATAATGGAAGAAATTTGGATGGCCAGAGCTCCTTTCCTGTAGCTCAGCCCTCTCTTATTATCCTTATTATCCTGAATATTCCCCAGCCAGGCTTTGGAACACAAAGGGATGCAGGGAAGCTCTTCAGGAGTCTTGGAACTTGCAGCTAAAACAAGGAACACTTCACAAATCAATAAATGCTTACTAAACAGCCCTTCAACAGGAGAGTGTTGGGCTGCTGTCTAAGGTAGGAATTAGATACTCTGTAAGGGTCAAATCCATCTGGGAGATGCTTGAGTTTGTCTCCACTTCCAGGGTCTCTCCTGTGTCAGTGGCAGCTCTGTCTGGGATCCCTCCCGTGTTTGCTGCCGGCAGATGGGGCCGTTGGAGGCTGGAAAAGGAACAGCCAACAGTCACAGATCACAAATCCCATCAGAGGAGGGATCTGACCAGGCCCTCTCTGTGCTCTGAAAGCATGAAGGAAGTCTTGCCTGTCTGTAAATTTCTGTTCTCTACTCGCTTTCAGTTGTTCATTAAAAACTCACACAAATATTTAATTCTTTGCACCTTGTACCCCTTGGATTTTGCCCATGAGCAGCAAAGGCTGAGGGAGGCAAACTGTGAGCACAACAAGGAGGATTTGATTTTCTTTTCAGTGATTCAGCCTTCTGTTGCACTGGAGTTCCTCAAATCTGAGTTTAGGAAAAGGGAAAGCCAACTGGAGATGAGATGTGGTGACAATGGGTGCTGAGGGCAGGTTAAGGCTCAGCCTGACAGCAGCTGATCCCAGCCTGGGGCCCAGCATTGCTTCCCTCTGCACAGGAATGGGTGCAAGTGAAAGCATCCACATTTAGCAGCTCTGTTTCCTGGTGTGGCTGTAAATGAACAGGCTCCTTTCTAATGAAATGCGTTCTGTGGCTTTATTTATTGCTCCCCAAAAAATCCCGAGGCTTTCCAGGAGGGGGGCAGTAATTCCCTTCAGTGAGTGCCCCTAAACCCTCCCAACTGAGCTGCTTCCTTTGTTTTGTGCTGCTCAGCAGTTTGCTTACACTGAATTCAACTGACTTCGAGTTGAAAGAGATAATTTCCCTTTCTTTTGTTCCACGTCTCCTCCTCTAAAATTCATCTCCTGCTCTTTTCTCCGTGATAAAATGTCAGCGAGATTCCAGGCTGTGCTGTTCCCTCGGCCCCAGCCCAGTCAGGGAGCAGATGTGATGGGATTTAACCGTGGCAACTTGCTTGGCTCCAGGAGAATTCAGCAAGTGGGAGCCGTGTCCAGTGTCACAAACCCCATATGGCAGCAGGGACATCACTGCTGGAGTCCCACCAAGGGTCACTTTAGCACCCCCAGCTGAGATCTCACAGCTCCCACGTGGTGCTTTATTTGCTGTGCTCCTGCCAGCTCCGGGAATGTCAGCGGGAATGCAAATGGAGCAGCTCTGGTGTTAATCGGGAAAATGAGGAAAAAAAAGAAAAAAAATGGTAAAAATTAAAATTAAAATAATTAAAAATAAAAATTATAAATAAAATATAAATAATAAAAATGTTAAAATAAATAATAAAAAAGCACCACTCCCACGTGGTGCTTTATTTGCTGTGCTCCTGCCAGTTCTGGGATTGTCACCGTGAATGCAAATGGAGCAGCTCTGATGTTAATAAGGAAAATAAAAAAAAATTTTAAAAATATAAAAGTAAATAATAAAAACAAATAATGAAAATTATTGGAATAAAAATAATGAAAATTATTGGAATAAAAATAATGGAAAATATTGCAATAAGAATAAATAATAAAACCTGAAAATAAAAATAATTTTAAAAATAAAAAATAAATTATGACAAAATAAATAACATAAAAAGCACCCCTCCCACATGGTGCTTTATTTGCTCTACTCGTGGTCCTGCCAGCTCTGGGATTGTCAGCGTGAGTGCAAATGGAGCAGCTCTAATGTTAATCACGAAAATAAAAAAAAAATAAAAATAAAAATAATAAAGTAATAACAAAAATAAATAAAAATTGAAAAATAAAAATATTCTAAAAAGAAATAATAACAATAATATTAAAATAAATAATTTTAAAAATCAGTCAAAAGCACCACTCCCACGTGGTGCTTTATTGGCTGTACCTGCCAGCTCGGGGCTTGTCAGCGGGAATGCAAATGGAGCAGCTCTGCTGTTAATAAGGAAAACGAGAAATAAAGAACACAGAGAAGCTGCCCCAAGCCCCGCTGCTTTCCCTGCCCTTGGAAGCGTTCCCGCTGCTCATTAGCTGTGCAGAGCAGGGCTTTGTTGCGGGTTGGGAGCGCGGCACGTGCGGCTCTGGGATGATGGATCCTGTCACTGTAATTTACTGCGCTATTTCCGTGCCCTTTTTATCAGCCCGGCGCAGCTGCGCGCGCTGCAATCGCTCCTTGGAATCTTCCTGCCTGGAGCGGGGGCAGCGGGAACGTCCTTGGTGTGAGCGCAGCTCCTCCTGGGGCTGGAGTGGGGCAGGGGGCGCGTTCCGTGGGCATCCCGACATTCCATGGGCATCCCGACAGTCCGTGGGCATCCTGACATTCCATGGGCATCCCGACAGTCCATGGGCATCCCGACGTTCCATGGGCATCCCGACAGTCCATGGGCATCCCGACGTTCCATGGGCATCCCGATATTCCATGGGCATCCCAATATTCCATGGGCATCCCGACAGTCCATGGGCATCCCAAGGTGTCCGGAGCTCTCTCCGTGAGTCCCAGGAGCAGCATCGCCACGGCAACATCTCCCCAAACCCACCAGAGCCGTGGCTGATGTGACATCGTTTAATGTCCCACCTTCCCTTTCCTCTCCAGCCCCGGGAGCCCCCCTGGCACAGGGGGAGCAGCAGCAGCACAGGGAAGCTCCCACATGGATTCAGGAGGTGTTTCCTGTCAGGGTGTGGAGGGGCAGGAATGATCTGATGTGGGGTTGGGTCTCTGACCCGCATACAGAAGGGGGTGCGGT